TACAGGGCTTTGGACTATTGCCTTTCCTCTGTACGCTAAAGTTTACCTTCCTCAAAAACTCCTCAGCGTTATTTTTTTAAATGAGGGGGCTGTTCAGCAGTTTTATTCTAGCTCAAGCTAATACCTTCTTGGTAGTGCTGCCTAAACACTAGGTCCCTGGCTTTCAACAGTTTGCATATATACACACGTGGCTGGTGGAAATCTCTCTCCTTCCTCTAACAAAGCTGGTGAAGATGAGCAGTCAGTATGGTTTTCAGGAGACAGGCACTGTTTCAAATTAAACAGCTAATAAGCACCTTCCTCCTGCAGAAGGGTCAAGACCAGGGAGGAGGACAAGTTGACAGAGTAGCACTGACAAAGGCGTTGAAGCTCCACAGAAGGGAAGCGTGCTATGACAGGGTGTGTTTGTTAATCTCTTCACTGACTAAGTTAATAGTCCCCCGATCACCCCACTGGTCCGTGGGCAGCTCCCATTCTGAATCACTCGAGTCTTTTCATCAGATATGAAGCCTGTTCATCTACTTCGGGGCTGGTGACTCCACAGGGCACCCTGATGTTAGAAAGCACAACGCTCAGGATTCAAGAGACAATGCTTTCAGAGCTAGTTACATCCCGTTCCCTCTCATACATTTGAGAACTAGCACACAGAATAGTTACTTGAGTGGTATATGACAGTACTGCCAAGATTTTTTTTTTTTTTTGCAAGGACAGAAAATACCAGTCCTGTTGAACAGTTTTCTTTCCCATTACTTAAGCCAAGTTGTCATTCACAAGAGACAAAGCTATAAGAAAAAAAGCCAAAACACACATCCTGATACAGAAGGAAGAGCATTAGGGGCACAGCTCATGGGCAGGACTTGAGCTAGCAGGGTTCACCTCATACATTAGCACAGCCAACTACACAAGATATATTTTGCAGCTCTGAGCAGAAGTTTCTTCAGGATTCAAGATCAACCACCTCACACTGCTGCCTAATTCTATCAGATGTAAAAAGTCAGAGAAAAAAACCAAACAGATTAATAAACCAGGACTTTCATTAGCTCCACCAGACAGTCACTTAACAGGAGTCCAAATCTTAGGGAGTTGTTTAACATTGATGCCATTTCACCTACATTTCAATAAAACCAGTCAATATCATCTTTAAACTAAGTCTGCTTATGAAGCAGCAAGTCTGGGCTCCAGTGCAGGCTGAGGTTTCAGTTAACAAGAAGTACTAGGAAACAAAAGCCAGTGTGATTAAAAAAAGCCAGATAAACAGAGTGTGAACACTTCCATTTCTGGGCCTAGTGCTGAAAACTTGTTTTTTTTCTTTGTTTCCCCCCCCACACACACACAAAGGCCACAGTCTCAAACAGGCCAGCCTACGTTCAGGGCTCCTAGAAAGATCCCTTTTTGCTGCAGCTGTCCTCAGAAACCAGACAAACTGATTCCTGATGCAGGGAATTCCTCTGCTAGATTGGAGTTAATGAAAATAATTTCCTATTAAAAGCTGATCAAGCTAAGTCAGAAAACGAGCAGCGGAGAGGAAAGGAACATACTAAGGTGCAGTCAGCTTTATTAGAAAGTTGAGTGACATGTTAGATACAGACAACTCCACTACTGTTTTATTATTCTTTAAAGTCAAAAGGATCAAGTCCTAGCTCTTCCCTAAAGGGGAGAAGGATCCTATGTCAGTGGAAAACACAAAAATACATTCATAATGGAAAGAGCAAACATCTTCAAACTCAAGCATCTTGTCCGGTTTGTTTTGTATAACTACAACCTGCTAGAGAGGGACTTGCAGATACTGCCCCAAGCATTCAGTGTAGTGTCAAGGCTGGTGGGACAGATGAATTAATTTTTTTTTTTAGGAGAACCCAGGGATTAAAAGCCTGCTTGAAGCCTGTACACGTATTTCACCCTTTATCTTTGTTTGCAATATGCCTCTTATGTTTGTATAAGAATGTGGTGCAACGGTCTCCAGCCTCACTCAAAAATCAACGTTGCACAACACGAGTGGCTTCAGAATATGGCACAGTTTGATTTTTAGGTTAGAGTTCACAGGCAAATGACAACGGCAGTAACAGCGAGGCAAAAAAAAGTCAGGAATTAGTCAGGAGTCTCCGGGTTCGACCAGATTGTAGACATGGTGTCCCTGCTTAAAACATGAACTGTAGAGACATCAGAGCCGCAGCTAGAACTAGCTGCATTTCTGAGTGGCATGCAGAACTATACCTTTACGGATGCGCTCAGCACACCTGGAGCTCGGACACGGCCAGCCGTCGCGGCC